GGGATTTACTTTACTTTAGTGCTGCATCAAAATGACAAACCCATAGTCTGAGTCACTCTTGAAATGTTTCTGTCACATTTGTAATCAGAAAGTTCATTGCTTGAAGCAAAGGTTAGAATACTGTGATACCTCATGTTCAGGTAAACTAGTGACAGCCTGTACTTTGGCTCTCACATTTGTCTTCTGAGGTTTGAAAAAAATAATTTGTCATCTGAACTAGGACTTTTTTTTTGCAATTTTCCATGACTCTGCTGCTAATATAATACTGTGACATCTCAAATTTACTGAAAGATGATCACCAGTCATTATTTCAACAACTGCCATCTGAAAGAGGTTAGATGGCTTCTATCTGAAATGCTAATAACCGCCTGGAGTCTTGTCTGCTATGGCCTTGATTCCTCCTTCCATTTTAACAACTCTGGGGAAGGAATAATGGGAAATTTTAACAGAATTCTGCACTGAAAGTACAATCACTACCATCCATCTTGAGCTCATAAAACAGGCATGGGGCTACTGCTGGACACAGGCAGCCTATTGGTTCCCAAAGCTTTTGTATCTCTTTGCTACATCTCTACCAGCAGTGTGGTTACTGGCAGGAGTGGCAGCAATGCTGCAATGTGTGGTAGGGCACTCAGTGAGATTAATGTTCTCTAAAGTGTCAGCCACAATCAGCTGTTCCCACAAATATCTTATGGACTCCATTGTCTGGCCTTACAAATGACAGGGAATATTTCTCACATCCACTGTGAACCCAGATTTCTAGAAACACTCACACTTTACAGTACAAAAAGAATAATTACACTATAATTATATTGTAGGTGGTTTTTTATCATAAGATTTCCACTAATCTATATAATGAAGTACTTCATGGACTGGCCAAAAATAATTGCAATGTAAAATGATGTAATTGGTACACCTGCACTTAAAAATACACAGTCAGGACCTCAGCTGAGTTAAATCATTATCTCCCTGATGATATCAGTCTGGTTCCTGTGCATTAAAAAGCAGATCATGGGAGCAATAATATCTCAATTATGTAGTTAACCTTCTGGTTATATTAATTAGTGATGATTATGCATGGGAAACCATAATTATGTCACATACATAACACCCCTTTGAAATTGCATATGAATCTAAACACAAAAGGCAGATGTGAACATCTAACCAGGGCTAGAACAAATCTGAAACTTAATTTTATGACCCTCTCTTTGTGTCTGAAACACAGCCAGTCATGACAGCTCTGCTGATGTTAAATTTGTAGAAGAAACTGCAAGTTTTATCTGTCCCAGAAGAGAAATACAAAGCAGAACAGTCTCATATTCTGATTTCACATGCAAGTTATTAAATTCTGACTAAAAAAAAAGAGAAAAAAACCATTTAGGCCCAATTCAGTTAACCAACAAGGAAGTTCTGAATCTAAAGAAGCACCTTTGCATTAACTCATGACATTTATCCATTTACCTGGGGTATGAACAGCTGAAAATCAGTCTCCCTTGCTCCTGTTTGCAGGAGATCCTGGCAGCCAGAGAATTATTTGCAGGAGAACTTCCCAAAGATTTTCTCCTGAATGACTGCACAAATACAATGAGAGACTGAGAAAACTTCCAAGGCTGTCTGATGAAACTGTGGTTGGGAAGAGGGAGTCAGAGAAAACAGGATTTTCCACAACTGTCCTCATGTCTAACTTTAGACTGAAATTTTTCACCTTCAAGGATACAGAAAAGCCAATCTGAGCTAACACTCTTCCCCCAATAGAGCAGAGATGTGCTTTATCCCAGCAGACCATTCCCTCACAGCAGGACCACAGTAAATAATTATGGTGGAGGTCATTCCGTCTAAATTTAGAAAATATTAAACATTCCAGTTTTCTATAGGCTTCTGTCACCTAGTGAAACCTACAGAAACTCTGCACTGCAAGAGGAATTGTGGATCTAAACATCCAGGCTTATTCAGATGGCAGCATCTTGCCACCCTTGCAGGGAAAAGGACAAGCCCAGAATATCACAAAATTTCCATTAAAATTAATCCTTTGAAAAGTGAATGCTAGAAGAAACTGCATATTTTTGACCAAACAAATGTGCTTCAAATGGATGGTTTGCAAATGTCAGGTTGAAGTATTCCAAAGTTGGGAGCTGCCAGAATTAATGCTGCCTGTGTACTCTGCATTGTACTTGTAGGGTCTTTGCCACTGTTATTCCCTGGCTTTTTATTTTTTTAATCTAAGTAACTTGACTTTGAAAGTTTGACTTGCAAATCTGGCATTTGCAGTTCAGGGAAACCCCACCTTGCGCACCTTTTGTTCTATGTTCACTCAATTACTATTGGATGTGCTGTTTGCTTTCTGCAGTGCCAGCAGCAAGGGACACCGGCACAGTGTGGGCCAGGGTGAGTTATTGACCCACAGAACCAACACTCTTGGGGGCTTCGCTGTTTCTGCTCTGGGATGTCAGATCAGCCCATGACAGCCAGTAGAGCAGAAAACCCTGCCCTGTAAGGGCCCAGGTGAGTGAGGTCCTGGGTGTATTCTGGGCAGAGCAAGGTCTCATTAGGTGGCAGTGTCCCTTAAGGGACTAAAGGCACATGGTACTTTGCAGATTGTAACCCAGTTAGACTTTGGTAAGACATTCTGCCTGTCTTTTCCTCCACTAAACTGTAAAAGTGTTGTCTAATATTTATAACCAGCAGTTCTCAAGCATTGCAAGCTGTTCTGTAATGATATTTTCAATTCAGTCTGAGACTCCTGAATGAAATTTCTGAAGAAGTTACATAAATGCTTTCTTTTTCAACCTGAATTGCATTCAATATAATACTATAGAAAAAATCCTTGCAAACATCTCACTTCAAGAGAGGTTATTTTTTCTTTTCCTTTTGCTCTTGGCAGTGGCTGTGACAAGAATGACAGAGCAAAACACAACAGAAAGTTATAAATGTTACTTTTCCTAAGACAGCAAACAAAGTCATGGACTACCGAGGTGGGAAACTGAGGCACTCTGCTTTCAGACACTCTGACCTGTGTCTCATCCTGGGGCTGCAGAGAAGGTATAAATTGAGGAGCTCCCTTGGGAGTGACAAGTCTGGGGCCTGTCAAGCAAAGAGAATGTGCTACCTATCTTTCCAGCCATCTAAAAAGAGACACTGACAGAGGAATGCACAATTTGGGAAGATGCTTTTCATCACTTCAGGGTTTTTTCACCTTTACTTCAAATTGCTGCACAAGCAAGGCAGTGCCTTTTGGTTCCTCCTTCGATATGCACCTCCTGACACACAAGGAAAAAGTTGCCAAAATCTGATAACAAGCATGATCCCCCTTCACTTCATCCCTTTCTCCATTCTTTGTTTCCTAAACCCACCCCCCTGGCCCAGGTCAGGATCCATCTGTCACAACCTGGCATGTTCTCTGCTGGCTTTCTTCCCTTTCCCCATCTCAGCACTTTCTTTCCATCAACTCCTCTGGCACCACAGAGCCATGCACAACATCTGAAGAGCTGGCACAGGGCAGTCCATGTCAGGGGCCATTGTCACAGTGCAGATGACTGAGTTAGAGGCTTTGGCACAGCCTTGTTTATCACTATTAATGAGGCTGAACCAAAGGTGCAATTCCTTGGTGTCTTTTGCCTCACTCCTCTCTTTCCCTTCTGGAATCTTGACCAATCCCTCCATTCCACTCTTTCCCACCTCAAGCAGCTGCTCCAGAGAGTCTGAGAGCAGGACTGATGAGGCCACAGCTCTGCCCTTTTGTTTAGTGACACAGATGCATTATTAGGGGCTAGATTAAATAGGAGGTTGGGGTTGGGGATGCATACACCCATGCAAGTTTTCTTAGGGGAAGATAAGAAAATATGGTCTTTTGGGAGATTGAGGTTTTAAGGAAAGTATATGACCCTTTTTCAAACCTTGACTCTGGCTTGTGACTTTGCATATTTAGTTGACTCTTACCATAACACAGTACTTGGTTTGAGGACTAGAAGCATGAACAGCACTTAAGAAATTAGCTGTCTCTGGTCACAGGGAAGACTCTCTGCCATCTGAAATTGAGCATGTAAATATTTAGTTCTGGGCTGCCACCACTGAGATTTTGCACAGAGTCATCACTGGGGTTCAGACTCATGGTATGGCAAAGCTCTGACAAACTTGGATGTGAGGGCACATCCAACAACACTGTCTCCATAGTTGAGCTGGGCACATTTCCCTCTGCCTTTCCAATGCAACTTCCCAGCGAGCTCATCAACCACATGGATGCACTGGAAGTGCTTGGAACCAAACAGTACCAAAAAGCAATTTACTGAAAGCAATTCTTCTGCCTAAAAAGCTGGGTATTACATTTGTTCTTCTTGCACACCTTCCCCTGTCAGGGTGCCACGCAGAGGAAATCTGTGCAGCTGATCTGGGATTTCACAAACCAAGGGATTATGTGCCACAGATCCTGACAGGTTCCTGTGCTCACAGCCTGGCAAACACCACAACTGTAATCTCCTCTCTGAGATAAAGTCCATCAATCTTATTCTTACACCAACCTCTCCCACTCTGCCCTTCAGGCAGAGCTCGAAGAAAAGCCCTTCTTGGGAAGGATGTTAAAATCTGCCCTTCCTTGGTACCCTCCTGTTTAACTTACTCTTTTGGCTGGCCTCCCATCAAAGTTGAGTCAACACATATGCATTTTGTCTGCTGAGCTGACTAGTTTTCAATAACAATTTCTCCTTCATTCTGTAACAGAGATCAATAGAACTGCCCCTCTCTCATGTTGGCTGAGATTCCAGGAATGTAATTTGCTTTTTATTGTTGCTACTGCTTTGTTTTGTTTCCATTTTTCTTTCTTTTTTTTTCCTATTTTTTCTTTTTTTTTTTTTTTTCCTTTTTGGCAAGGCACAGATCAATTTCGAAAGATGAAAATGACTTAGACTTTCACTCAATGTAAAATCTGCACTTCATAACCCAGGATGTAATTTACAATTCTGTCATTAAACTCTGTTAATCCTATTATTATGAAGATAAATAATTACCCATAGCGAAGAAAGGGATTCCCAACAGAGTAGAATTATATTTTCCATCAGTAATGAAAAATATCCCTGCCGCAGTGACACTGGAAATACAGATAGTGAGCACTCCCAGGAGTCCCAGGAAAGGTTTGCTACGCAGGCAGTCCTTCATGGAGCTCGAGAGGGTTGCAGTCAGGAGAATCAGCATCAGGCTCACCAAAATCTTGCCCCTGGCCAAGAGACTGGTCTGATGGAAGTCCTTCCAGAGGCTAAAGGATGCTAGAGAGTAGAGCTGCAGATCCTGGTGATCCAGCTGCATCTTGTGCATCAGTTTACAGAATTCGCTCTCCCACTTCTCCCCAATGAGGTCCTGGGTGACAGAGCCATACGTTTGGAGGTAGTAAGTGATTTGGATGGCTCTGGCTGATTTGACTCTCTGGTCCTTGCTGTTTGGCACTTCCATTACCCCTCCAAGCTGGTGGCCAATGAAACTGCTCCTTCCATCCTGGGAGAGAAAGCAGAAAAGATGAGCGTGTGGTTATCGTGCTTGTGACGTGGTGCAGAGATAAACTCTCTGTTCTCTCACAGACATGCCAAGAGCTCTGCTCAGACACCACTGCGCTCAACAGGAGCCTTGCCATTCACCTCACTGGGCTTTGGGATCTGTCCCTGCTCCCTGCCACAACTCTGTCTTACTCATTACAGGCTCATTTGCATTTCTGTGCTGCAGTTCAGCGGCTGCTCAGATATTCATTGTAGTCTCAGGGATTCCCAGATACCCAGGACCAAAATGTTGCATGCAAGATCCTCACCCCATGGGAGAGGATGAGCTTCCACGTTTAACTGCTGGACAATGACAAATCTCCAATTAATACAAAAAGTTTGAGATAAAGAATATTTTCTGGATAATTTGTGATTTCTTGACACTTCAGAAATTATTTTTAAAAGTTGGAAATGTACTGAAAATGAATCCTGATTCCTCAGGATACAGACATCCAAAGAGTTTAATAGCTATTCTGTCTCCAGAAAAATATAATTAAAATTAGACTTTTTGAATTGTTAATTTGAGATTTTATGGATTTATATCAGTGTACAGAGAAAATAATCTACCTTAAACCTAAATTTAACCAGGATTTGGGGTTTTTTATACATTTCAAGAGTATAAACCTTACTCTGGTCTCACTTATTTTAGTAAATGCTAGGACATATAAAACTCCATGACAATCAGTAAAGTCCACTCAGCCTCTGCCTGTTAATCAGACCAGGCCTTTTTTTCTGTAAAGTTATCTGTTTCCATTTAATATTTGGCTTGGGTTTTTTCTTTTATTGTTGGAAGGAGTTAATAAGAAATGTCCTGTAAGAAAGGTCCTCTCTCTGTAGCCACTGGTTGTTGGATAATTGTATGCGCCCCTTCCAAGACAGGGGAAGCCTGTGTTGGTCTAGAAGATCAAATCCAGTTGTAAACTGAGGAGTAAGACTCAATGATAAAATTATCCCAGCACAAGTAATCTCTTTTATCAAAAATTTTAAATCCAGAGATTGTCTTTTGTACACCAAATAATACTATTTTGCTTTCTCCCCAGCATAAATTATAAGTTTTCAGATTTATTCCTCTTGTATTTAATAAAAACATAAAATGATCAAGGCATTGATGTCTAAACTACCTTGAAGCAGTGTTATCTCATATGAGATAACATCCTTTGCCTAGGCACACTACTGGAATGAGCTAAAAGCTTGAATTTGGGAGAGGCTCTGCCCTCGACACGCACACATGGAAGCAGTCATCTGCAAAAGGCCAGAACCATTTGGGGGAGACACTTTAACATGTATTGCACCCAGCATTACCCATTTGTAGAAGCACCTGTGCTGCATGCAGGTCATTATCTGAAATTGCCAGACCTGCTCATAGCAGTGACCCCCATCCTAAGGAAAAATTGGTGAAATGAGGTTTTATAAAATTTAGATGTCTTCCAGCATGTTGACTCATAGAGCAAATAAATTTCAGAAACTGGGAGACTGTTTAAAATGTTTTATGTACTCACCTTGCCTTCAATCAAGTATGTAAAGGAGGCAATCCTCCCACTGAGAAATTTCTCCCTATGCCTACTTTCATGGCAGGAGCTCGCACTGTTCCCAGCTTTGCCTGCCAGAGCCCAGGGAACGTGACAAAGTGCTTTTCAGAAGTTCATTTTTTTCCCTATTCCCAGTTGTTATTCCCACCACAATAGTGGCTTCTGGCAAGGGTATCCTGGCATGAGCTGACACAAAAGGTGAACTGCAGTCTAGTGCCAGCTTCCCAAGTCACCTGGAGTCTCATTGCAAATGTCACATAAGCAGAGACAGCTATCACAGAGGGGCAGCTGCTGCTGTTCAGACTCAAAAAAAATCCTCATCCCCAGCATTTAATGCTTGAATCCTGTTTGGATTTTTTATTTCTACTGTCTCTAAGGAGAGGTCACACCTAACACTGAAACACCCACAAAAAGTGCATTTCCAAGCTGGTAATTAAAGCTTGAGCAATGCAGTCCTGGCTCACACTGGATGCAACTTTTCAACTAAAAATCCCCACTTGGCACCGTGTTGAAATTTTGGAGAGAAATTTCCCATTTCCTCAGTGTCTGGGCAGAGCTGACATTCAGAGGCTTGCAGGAGCTGCAGGACTTTGTAGCAGCACAGCTCCCAGCCCAGGCAGAGCACTGTAATTCAGGTTTCATTGATTCACTATGCAGCAGGCACGGCAAGGTTATGGGAAACTTTGTGATGACCATCTGCCCTCCCCTGCAAAGGGTGCAGTGAGCGATGGCCACATTTCAAAGGAGGCAGCAGAGCAGGCACAAATAAGTCATGTTCTGCTGTATCTCCTGTGAAACAGCAGATAACAGCTATTTTTTACACTGATGTACAATAGGGTGCCCAGCTCATATGTCAGCAAAACAGAGAGTAAGCTTTCAGATGGAATTGAGGAAATCACAGGCGCCGGATTGCTGTGAGGACATTTTGCCTGTTCCCTTCTTTCTGGAGGCAAATTGTTTCCTATCTAAGCAAGGGGTTTTGCCTTTGCTGCAGTTAAACATGAATGTGGCACCACAGCACTTGGGAAAATGGGGCTTTTCTCACATACGGTAGCAGAATCAAAGAACAGCTTGGATTGGAAGGGACCTTAAAAATCATGTCTTTCCAAGCCGCCTGCCATGGGCAGGGACACCTTCCACTAGTCTAGATTGCTACAGATCCTGTCCAACTTGTACTTGAACAGCTTCAGGGGTGGGGCAGCCACAGCTTCTCTGCAGTGGTTACAAACTTAGTGAGGAAGGCAGAAGAAATATGGGGGACAACAGTATTTTGTTCACCCCATTTTATGGATGACAACCGATGTGTGGGAAAATGGAGATCCAGTGCTGCTAACATGAATTTCAGCACCTCCCAGAGTCCAAGACAGGGACCTACCTGTTCTTGGAATCTCATGGGAGCTTCAGAGGAGTTATTCACTGCCCCAAGTTCTCTGTTGTCCTCCAGGACCAACTGAGTGAAAGAACAAGGCATGAAGGGCTAAATTCCTGAACTAAGCCTAAGCTCTGGGAAACAAAATGTGCCCACAATGACTTGTGTAAGGGATGCCTGTAGAGCCAGGCAGGTTTTGCATAAGACTTCACATAGTTCATCAAAAATGGTGCTTTCTGCTAGTTAGTACGTCCTTCCTGGCATATGCCTGCATGCTGCTATTTTTAATTTCATAACACATTTTGATGTTCCTGACTACAGACCCCTCACACTTTCACCTACATCTGCTGCTACTCTTTGATACTACATAAAGAAAAACAAACCTCCAAAATAATTAATAATAATAATTATTGGTCACACATGATTTTATACCCACGCATCTACAACAGAAGATGCTAATTGACTTTAGCAAGGTCACTTGCATGGTTGGAGTCTTGTTTCAAATTCCCAGGCTGTGTCTATGTGTCCTTCTCTGTTTCAATTTAAAAAAAAAATCCAATGAAGTCTTAACAGTGTCTGTTCTCCCAGATTCTGAGATTCTGATGGCAGGTAATCCTCTCCAGACTTGAGACTTTTTAAAGATGCAATGAAATATAGATCACCTGCTGGGGCATGTGATATTTCATCTAAAACAGGGGGTAAGCAAAATTCTTTGCTTCAATGGACATTATTAAATTGTTTTTTGTGTTCTCCCTCCTCTTTTTCTAGTTGCCTCAAAGGCATTTGATATATTAAGGCTCTGAAAGGGAGGAGAATGAGAACTAAGATGACAGGCATGAACAGCTTCACCTTCCTTTCCCCCAGCATGATGGACTTAGCCACCTGTGTCCATGCAGACCTGACCTTGTTTGTGGTTGAAAATCCAAACTCCTTGATTTTTCAGCAGCAAGATTCACTAATTGTGAATGAATGTGTAGAGAATAAACCCCTGCTATGTTTCAGGATGGAAACTCATCTGTAAATGGTGCTTGGACCCTTAATTTCCTGAGAAGATAAGTAAGTGGCATGGGAAGTTTGACTTGCTCCAGAGCTGAGGGCCTCTCAGGTTAAGGGAAACCAGCTGCTCCTACTGAGCTAAATATCTTCTGCTAGTGATAATAGTAGTAGGCACAGATCCTCTCAGCACGCAGCCCAGAGGGACACTAGAAATACTCCCTCACTACTAAAATTACCTGTGGCCTTTTTTGTTTTGTTTCCTTAATATTTTCAGTGCAGGTGTTGCAGGCCCAGCTCTCGCTGGGGGTTCTGTGTGGTCACTGCAGCACCAGCCCTCGGCAGGGCCTTGCCCTCTGCCGGGGGGTTTTCTTTGTCCAAAATCTCTCTAAGTCAGGAAGAAAAGGGCTGTAGTCAGTGCAGAGAATGGCAGGGAGGGCCAGCTGTGGGTGTTGGCACTGAGGGATGGGGATTAGTGGTGGGCCTGGCAGTGGCAACTCAATGGTTGGACTTGGTGGTCTTAGAGGTCTTTTTGAATATAAATTATTCCATCATTCATCTCTGCTCTGAATGGCATCAGCCTCCTCTGGCTTTCCTCCCACAGGAAAGAGGGTTTGAGGTATTTTTGAGAGGACATGGCTTCTACCTCCTTGGCACCTTGCTCAGCAGAAGTTGGGCTGGTGAGGGTTTTAAAACGCTTTTCAGATCCCTGGCAACAAGGAAAGGAGCCCTTGTTCCCTACTGCTTGATCACTCTCATTCAAGTACACCTACAGGACCTTAGCCAGCAAAGTTATCTCTATTTTTATTTTTCTTTAACTGCTTCCTTTCATCAGCTGGAGTGATAGATCATTATCAAGCTACATTATAGAAATGTTAGGATAAAGCATGCCATCCTGTTTGCATGCTATTTTATCTTAAAAGCTTAAAGTGTTTGACAGAGGGCAACCAGGAATGTCTGCTGAAATACATTGTGTGATAAACATCCTAATGAAATCAATGCAGTTTTTTCTCCCTCTGATAAGGACATTTCTACTCTACTGTAGGTCACAGAAAATATTATGCTAAAAAA